TCCGTACACACTTTGTGTTACTTGACCCTCTGTAAAGAGAAATACGGTGAAAAAAGAGTAAAGAAACAATCCTTCCACTTCTGCCAGGAAAAAAGCGTATGCCATATAAAGCGATCAAAACAAGAAGCTTATGTAATATAAAATGCCTCTCATCGATCAGGGATCTCTGCGAAGCCGGTTCTTCGGCTGATTAACAAATGGCGTTATCACCCAGTGCGTAATCTTCCACCGCTAGCCACCGTAGTTGGGAAATGTACGGTATGGACTCGAATAAGTTTCAAAGTATTACATGACACGAAAATATCGATAATAAAGGATAAGTTATTTGGTGTTGATAAATCTCTGACAGATGATCTATGCATTGGACTTCGATAAGCATCGTAGAGATAAACGAATACACGTTTGGCCTATACAATTACTTGTGGTCGGCTAGCTGGATCCCACCTTAAATCGAGGTGTTTATTCTCCACGGTAAATGTGACACTAATTGGCCGACCCCAGAAGGTTGGAGCCTTTAATTATTCGGTGGAAAAAAACTAAAGTATTAATGAAGATCAAACTTTTAAATAGACGCCATATTGAACAGAAAGGCTACTCACCGTGATGTTACGAGTCGGACTGGCCCACGCGTTTCCCCGATATATTCCTCGCCGCATGCATTACATGAGATCAAGTATATTATACCCAAACTCATGCAATCCCCGTCTCTCCCGTTAGGACAGATCATACAGTTTTCTGAGCTGCACAAGCGACCATAGAGACGGTTTCGAACTACCTGGTGGCGTAGGGTATTGGGTGGGATGTCAATAATCGTTACAAAATTTTCAAGACCACTTTTTCTTAAGGTTCTCTTAATGGCGTTACTTACTTCATTTCATATGAAGGGCAGCTTAAAATGGATCTTACTTATGTTTTTGTCTAACCCGAGTGGCTTCTACTTCGTAGCCATTGGAAATGGCTATTTTTCGTGCCAGGTTTTGCGTTTCCTTCCTTTTCTCTTCTCCTGTGCACACATTTTCAGCCGTACGGTATATGTTTTTGATAAGTGCTTTTTTATGTGTGAAGGATGAGAGGAGAGGTAGTGAACTAGTATATTTTTACTACCAGGCATACGATACCATTTTGTTATATAGCCGCTTCCTTAGAGCTTTATTTGGATGTTTAAGAATGGGAGTCAGTTCTCAGTAGGTTTTTCTCGTGTAAATTTATATACTCTGACTGTCGGTTTAATAATTCAAAGCACTCATCCATCTGTTCTTGTGTGGAACAGACGATGAAGCAGTCGTCTATGTATCGACAGTAGAGTATGGGTCGGTGATCGAGAACTGGAGCTTCCACCTTAAACATGAAAGCGATGGCAAGGCTTGGTGCTAAACGCTGCCCCATGGCCAACCCTCTAATTTGTGCAAAATATTTTCCGAACCCCTAAAGATTGAACAGCTAAGACACTGTTTTAAGAGAGTCATTAGTTGCGCAATCGACAAGCCGTACATTTTTATTTTCTTGTCGTGCTTTACGAGCAGCTCGAGAATAGCTTCCATTGCGGAGTCATTGGACACGTTGATATAAAATGAAGTAACATCGAATGACTCCATTACATGCGTGCTGTTTGGTTGCGCGCACCGTAAGTGGTCAAGAAATATTTTGGTGTTAGGTAAATGGGCTGGAATGAATTTTAGCAACTGGGTCAGGATAAGGTTTGGGAACCCCGTTACTCTACCCGTTAGCCCGCCTATACAACTGATAATAGGTCAAACTTTAAATGATGATAGATTCGTTGGCATACTCTCATTAGCTGAAGTAAGCTGATGTGTTTTAATAAGCAAGTAAAGGATAGAGCAAATTGAAAGTTCGTTTTTAAGTGGAGAAATAGCTGAAGGCTCTAAACCCGCGGCCTTTGCCGTGCTGACCCATTCCTGATTTAATTTTCTCTAAAGCTCTGAGAAAGTGGCTACATAACAAACTGGTATCGTAAGCCAAGTAATAAAAACATACTAGCTCACTACCTCTTCTCTCATCTTTCACCTGTGAGAAAAGCACTCATCAAAACAGGGGAAGAAGAAAGGTCGGAATCGCTAAGTCTGGCGCGAAAAATAGCCATTTCTAATGGGTGCGAAGTAGAAGCCACTTGGGTTAGACCAAAAAATAGGGTTGCTTGCCAAAATAATATTTCAAACCAAGGTAAGATCCATTCCAAGATACGCTTCGTGTGAAACTAGATAAGCTACACCAGTATGAGGTGCTTAAGAAAAAGTGGTCTTGAAAATTTTGTAACGATTATTGACATCCCACCCAACACCCTACGCCGCCAGTTAGTTCGAAACCGTCTCTATGATCGTTTGTGCAGCTCAGAAAACTGTATGATCTGTCCTAACGGGAGAGACGGGGATTGCATGAGTTCAGGTATAATATACTTGATCTCATGTAACGTATGCGGTGAGGAATATATCGGGGAAACGGGTAGACCACTTTGTGCCCGCATAAAAGAACATCTAGATGGGAAAGCTAAAATCCGTTTAAACAAGAAACGGGTAGACCACTTTGTGTCCGCATAAAAGAACATCTAGATGGAAAAGCTAAAATCCGTTTAAACACCCCTCTAGGGTACGCATAGGGCACAAAAGCACAACGGCGACGATTTTGAAGTGAATGTGCGGATCCTAGCGCAGGAATCGAAAACATCAACGCGCAAAACTCTTGAGGCGTTTTGGATAAATTTCGAAAATCCAACGATGAACCGAAAAGACGAATGCCTCACTATCACACGTGATCTGGCGCCCTATTTCGAAATGATATTTTGATCCCTGGGTTGCCTCGCTCGCGACCCCACTTGAGCAACGCGTGGACCCGTCCGACTCGTAACATCACGGTGAGTAGCCTTTCTGTTCAATATGGCGTCTATTTGAATGTTTGGTCCTCATTAATACTTTAACCTTTCTTTTCCACCGAATAATAAAAATATTCTAATATAAAGTATGTCCAGGCTCTGAGGAAGGCGAAGTCGCCGAGACGCCAGCCATCGACCAACAACATCAACAACAACGACAACGACAACGAAGACCTATACCAACCAGGCATCGGCTAAAGAAGATCAGTTTATAAGATCATATAAATAAATAAATCCACTATCTATGCCGAGGTTTATAGAAAGTTGGTCTCTTGAGTTTTTAAGGAATGCTGAGATATTTGAAACACTCCAGACCGCAGGTGTCTGCTGTGGGGAACGAAAGTGCTATTACCCTTTCCGGGCGTTAAAGCGTTCACCACCACGCCATGCAGGTCCTTCGTTTCGCTTACATCTCATCTAGTTCTATCGATCAGTGCCATGAGCAATCGATAGGTAGGAGTGCCGTGAGCAGTCGATATATAGGACTGATCGATAGGACCAGGTGAGAGAACAGCGAAACGAAGGACCCGCATGGTGTGGTGGTGAACGCATTAGCCTCCTGGAAGGGTAGTAACACGTTCGTTCTCCACCGAAGACACCTGAGGTCCGGAATTTTGCAAATATATCAGCATTATTGTCGTTATTTCACATTGGTGAAATATTTTAGAGAAGAAGGTGTTGAAGTTTCTAGTCTCAAATTCTTACTGATATAAAAAAGGCTTAGCAATGTTATGGTTTTCTGAGTTAGGATTGATTGCTGGTTTTATTTAGTGTGGAACCGCAATTAGCAGTGTGAATTTCATCCCTCCAGCATGCTCATCCAAGCTAGGAAGGTCAAGCTCAACCCGGCACATTAAATAAGTATTCCTAAGATATGCCAAAGTTATTGAGCAATCTCTAACTAGGTTTCTGTAAAAGAAAACAGTAAAAATAAGGCTAAAAGCACCAAGTAGTGTGGTCGATGCAAGTGAATTTAGTCTAGAGTGGTGTTCGCTCGACTTATTCGATGACGAAGTTACTAGTAACAGTAAAGATGGCGAGGGAATAGTGGAGCGTTTACCGTTCATAAAGTCAAACCAGTTGTATACATCCAACATGAATAATGATTAAATAAATAAAGGGCAGTCACTATAGAGTGCACCATGAATTCCACTTCATCAGCATCGTAGAGCTGATTGAATGCATATCTGGCCTATTTAACGACTTTCTCAGCCAGTAACGAACAAGACATCATCACTTATACTGTACTGATTGTCTTTCACACTACAAAAGCGTACTGGTACAAGTTCCATCCTGGATGATGAGCTATGAGATAGAAGCATCGGATATAATTTATTCCTACTCGGAATGAAAAGTGGAAACTACGCCAACACTTAGATCTGAAAAAATAAAAGTTCTATGCGCGTAGATAGGGGATAAAAAGAATTCAGTCGGGAATTGGTTTTAAAGTTTAGATATCCGACTTAGTGTGATCTTCGTCTACATGGTTTCACAACAAATTTATTATGGCACTTGGGATATAATAACTGGTAGAATGTGATGTCCGATAATAAATTAAGACGAGTTAACTAAGGGAGTTTCTAACTAAGGCATCTAGCTATGAAAACAATATATCAACTCAAGAGGAAACTAGGACTAACATCCGATTTCTGCACATGCACATATATGATTTCCGCTTTATTGTGTAGAAGAAAAAAATCGAACCAGTCAAGAACTTCTTTGCTTAGTCTCTAGCGTTCACTTAAAACCGAATGCTTGTAACTTAACTATAATATTGTTGAGATATATGGAAAACTCCGGACCTTTGGTGTTTACGGTGGGGACTGAACACGATATTACCTTTTCTGGGAGTTAACGCGTTTACCACCATACCATAGGAGTCTCTCGTTTCGCCTGTCTCTCACCCGTGTTGTTGACCTGTAGGCGCTATCAGCAATCACCCGTTAACGGGATTGATCTGGTGAACACAAATCGGCATGATCACAGTTATGCTGAAGCCTCATAATATTTAATGGCAAGGTATTATGTAACATAACCACACTGTTGCTGAGATATTTGCTAGTAACTTCTTTTGCCCCTAAATTATGTATAAAATAAAATCATGCACCTGATGTTATTCGCTTTCGGCTTGTGTCCGACATTCCCCTAGTCGCTGCGTGACGTCACCTTCGACTTGTAGCTCGGACAGATTGCTATGAAGTGTCGCCTTATGTTCACAAGACATATTACAGGCCGTGGCTAATTTCTGCTGAGCTCCTGATTCTTCCATGGCTTTCATCACCAAATTCGGATCAAATGGTTTTGGAGTGCTGTTATTACCGATGTCCGGAGGTGGTCTTTCTTCAGACATATCTGTTCCAATATCGTCTCCATGATTTTTGAAAGAGAAACCATTCTGAACAGTTATTGTTGAAGTAACCCTTCTACACCGAATGTTGATTGTTTACTTAACATATGAGAAACATTTGTTTTAACACCACGGTATTTCGAAGTCAAGGAAGATGATTGGAAAATTTATGGAATGTGATCTACGACGTTCTGAAGAAAAAGAAGCACTAAGGTAATAAATATCACCAACATTATTAACGCCAATGTTTGAGAGCAATTGTCTTCATTGATTAATTTCTTTAAGGAGACTCAAATCTTTCTTGCTGTTTCTATATTTCCAAATCACTATCCTCTTCTCCGACCATCTTCTTATCCTCCTCTTCTACTTCAGTTTCTCTGTCTTCCTCTCTATCTCTATCCCTTCTCTATTCCGTTGCTTTATCTCTACGTCCCTCTGCTGCTGTTTTACTTCTTCGTTAATATTAGTTCTTAGACGACCTATCTTCAAACGACGTGCAAAGCCTAGAAATTCCTCTATTGGTTTCGATGGTCTGATATCGTTATCCCCTGAAGCGACAGAGCTGTTGTGAGAGATCCGAAACGTCTTAAGAATCCGTTCGTGCTCGTCTTAAGAATCTTCCGCCATAATTAACATTTCGAATGCAGGTTCAGCATGCTTTTTTCCAGTTGTCTCAACCCAGCCGTTCCATTCATGTTTCTAGTTCGTCGCCACGCAAGCAATCACAACTGTCGTTTGTGACGCTGAGGGAGGTTTGCAGCGACTAAGATTCTCTCGAACGGTGACGATTCATGTGGCACTAGTGGGTTACATTCTAAGTAGGGCATTGGTAATATGCAGGATTTGTTTAAAAATTAGGCATTATCGATCCATCAATACCACTCAAAGTTGTTCCGCATAGTAGATCTTCAACCTCAAGAACGTATGGCTTTCGTTGATTTTGACAGAGCCTTAGAATATAAAAACCAGGTAGTAGAAAGGTTTGCTTTGTCTACATTGGGTTCAATGCCATTATGCTTCAAACAAAATGCAGCTTGTTACGAAATAACATGTAGGAAAATTATGGAATACTTATCTGTATAGGAACTATACTTCATATAAAATCACATCGAATCACCCTCTACAACACAAAGGTACATGATAAGATGGAGAAATAAATGTAGAGGTGAATATACATGCATACATAATTCATTAGGCTCTCGGCGTTGATCAATCCTTGAAGGATGCGCCATGCGTTCGACTTCATTATGTATCGTTAGAGGTGATTAAATGTATGTCTGGCCTTTACAATGACTCGCGGTGGCCTACCGATGTACCGATGTATCGAGCCAGTGCTTCTACCCCCTCAAAAAAGTCTGGTACCAATTTCCCGACCCCGGAGAGATGGAAAGCTTGGTGGGCCATGGTCGCTGGGGTCGATTCCACTTGAACGTCGCAGTGGCGCCTCCAACCACTGCGCCACACGCGCTACATGCAAGCATTAATAAACATATACACACGTACACACACACACTCACACACATACACATACACATACACATATACATACGTACACACACAAATACAGACACCACGTAGCACATATATAATGAACTATACACCGTACACACGTGGAGATTAGATCTCGAATAATTTCTGTTTAGTCGCTTGAGATGTCATCGATATTAAGACCAGCCAAAATCATGTTGCCAGAATCTCCACCACCTAGTCGCTTGGGTGTTGCCGTTAAAAGAGTGGTAACTCACCTTAACACTCCTTGCCTTGTAAACGACCTTTCCTTCCGTACCTTTTTTTTGCCGTAAACTCCTCACCATAGATAAATCACGCTCGGCTGGAAAACTCGATTGTTAATGTTTTTCCTTAACACCACTAAATGAAAAGAGATCTTACTTGGTGTAACACAATGACGTTTAGAATTAGCATAGCAAATGAATAGAAATCCGAAAATAATGAGTAGAAAGACAAAGATGTTACATAGAATTATGAACCAGATTGGAGGATTAGGAACAAGTAAGGACAACTGAAAATACTGATGAACCATTGTAGAAATAAAAAATTTTCTCGACTGGCCAAATGCTCTACGGCAAACTTTAGCTAATCGAAGCAGTGAGTGCCGCTTTCCCACTTTGTCATTAGGAAATATTAGATGGACTGACCTGGCTCATAAAGCCAGTCGACAGCGTAATACACAACAGGAAATAAAATGAGTCTCACCTTCAATATCATTTCTATCATTTTATATTAGCTGCTTATTCGACGTCAGAAAAATAAGAAATCAACCAGCCAAACAACTGATATCTCACAAAAGCACAAAGGTATGAAATGCAAGAGGTTGGAGACCTGGTAAGGCTACAAAGCTAATTTTAACAGTAGTGAAGGGTTTGCCGTACTCGCCAGGAGCAAGTTAAAGTAACGAAAAAACTTTTCGAAGACACTTCCTTTCATTGTCTGTCGTTTGAAAATGAATTCATATCATGTAACATAATGTAGCGTAGAATATCATAACATGGATTTCAATCCGATCACTTATTCAGTTATTAAAGCACATTCGAACCCATCTTACGAACACTTAGATGTTCCTGGATTGTCTACGTAACGCGCATCCGAACAGCGCATACGTGTTGGAGCCCGTTGACTCTGCCGCCCTTTGTAGTAACGTGTAGAGGGGCAAGCAATTGCAGCCGACTTTATTTACATGTACGTAACACTCGGATAATCATGGACTTAAGAACAGGCTCGAAACACTTTCCATCTAAGTGCTTTCATTTGTTGGACATTGTTTTCATTGCCTAGGTTCTCAATATTGCCGTTCTATAGGTTTCTGGTGGCGCGTGTGGCGCAGAGGTCGGAGGCACACATGAGATCGATCCCCGCGCCCAATGCAAGCCATTCACGAACTTCCTGTTGAACACGAAGGAAGAATAAAAGTGCATGGTTTGTCTATCCAGCAGCTTATGGCTCTTTTAAAGGAGTTCCTAAACTGCTCGATCTTCAGATGATCTGGGAAATATTCCGTGCAAATGAGAGGGTTGGCAATGGGACAGCGGTTAGCACCAAGTCTTGCCATCATGTTCTTGCCTAGAATAGAAGCCTCCGTCATCGATCTCATCGATCTCCGGCCGGCCATCTCCAATGGCTACGGAGTGGTAACCCAACGAGATACGTTTAAAAGGAGAGCGACGCCACAAGACCAAACACTTGGCCAAAAGAAAATTCCGTTTATGTTGCCTTTTATTAGCGATGAAGTAAGCGTAGTTATTAAACGATGCTTAAGAAGGGCAGGTCTATAGGACTCGGTAGCGATAGTTGAAATTCGACCGACTACCCTACGTCGTCAATTAGTTCGTAGCCGCATGTATGACCGTCTATGTGGAACAACAAATTGCGTAATTTGTCCTTACGGCAGGGACGGTGATTACCCCGCAGTCGTCAACCATATGCGATTGCGACGGTGATCAGCCGGCTCTCCCTTAGTCGAAGGCACGTAAAAAAAATGGTGGGTTTCTCGAGGAGCTGTAGAGCTTGTAATTATCGTTCAGATTTTCATCCTTCTGTTTGTGCTGTTGAAGCGTTTGACCTTGTAGGTTGCGTATTAGTCTACCCTTCCAAGCTCTGAAGAAGGGGATTCCACCGAAACCTCAGGTATAGTTGTGTTGTGTGTGTTATTGTATGGAAGTAAACGTATGCTGTTTAACAACTTCGCGATTGCTGAGAAAGAAAACGACGCAATTATTATAATACTCTTCCACCTATACGTCGGTCGTGGTGTAGCGGATGCTGTGAAGTCATAGGGACTTATTTCTTTTTACGGCAGTTTTCCTTGTTACGTGGGAGTTCCTCATTACACCTTGTGGTTAAAAAAATAAACAACACTTTTACCAAGAAAAAACAATGCTTCAAATATCGGTTTCTATCTCATTGAAGAGTTAGAAATACAGGACAAGGTAAAGAACACAACTCTCACTTGTACAGTGACCTGCAGTGGCCAAGGAGCTCGAGACGTGAGATCGAACCACCTACCACGTGTGTATTGCATAGTACCTCTATCCACTGGGATGCAACCGCTTCTAGAGTTGGAGATGTTGTAGGAAACTTAACCATTTAATTTTACAATAGTTTTCAATGCGGTTGGTTTTCTACTATAACCACCATTTTCACGGGTGTAGACATGTCGAGCTCTAACATATTATACTGCTCATGATATTCGTCATCATCAGGAAACTCTACGTGTGTTTCATTCCAGGAATAGTAGGAAAGAAAGAATTTAGAACTCCTAAGCCTAAGCCAAAAAACGAGACATTCTGATGATCCGAATGGATTTCAGAAGTAGAAGACGTTAAGAGGAAACAGTGCTTGAGATGTAGTTCAACTTCAATCGTAAGCACTTTTCTTAATTTCCAAAGGCTTTTGCTTTTTTGCAATGCGTAGACATGAATATATAACATTTCGGCTTCGCCCAATTCAGCACTACGCGGGGTTCACCTTTTCGCGTTGCCATTTGGAGCATTTCGTTGAAATTCCAGCAAGTCTACCGTCTAACGCACAAATTTTGCATGCTGCGCATTATAAAGGACTGCACCATACCATTTCAAAAGAAAGAAACGGAAATGAAAGAATTCAACCTGTCTTAGAAATTTCTGAACATTAAGGATATTGAGAGGCGCGCGTGGCGCAGTGGTCGGAGACTCCCTGCAACATATACGTGAAATCGATCCCCACGCCAATGATCCACCAAGCCTTCCATTCCTCCGGGGTTGCCAAATTGCAACCAGGCTTATCCGGGAGGATAGCAGCACTGGGTCGGTACATCGGTAGGTCACCGCGAGTCATTGTAAAGGCAATTGTATCAATCACCTCCAAACGATGCTTAATGAAGTGGAATGCATGGCACACCCCTCATGGATCGATCAATGCTATGAGCTTTATCCTTTTAAGGATACTGAATAATGGGAAAGCGAAAGAGCATTTCTTCATAAATACAAATAAACGAAATTGATCTTGGTCGATCTGATGCAGTCAAATAACACCTTGCGGGATATTCATTACGACACATAATCTGCTAATGCACGGGTAGGAAAAGTTTCCTAGAGCAGAAGGCTTTTTTCTGGTGTTATAAAAAGTCATATTTGCAGAAACAACAGCGGGAATAAAAGTTGCTTCAGTTCTTTTAAACGCTGAGCAAACTTAACATGAAATACAATCACAACAAACAAAGGAGGACGCTTCACTTGTGAGAGACAGAAACTCATAGAAAAGTTTTGTGTGTTGACAGTAACGGGTCTGATCTATCAGTCTGCGATCGAATAACCAGCAAATTTTCGATAAACGAGGTCCAAGCCATCAGGTCGTGTAATATTTGTGCATGACATTATCTAAAAGCAAATTTTTGGAAAACATTATACCATTCAAAGGTTTGTAGTGGAGCAGAAATTAGTCGTAGAGGCAGACATCTGTCGGAAGTACAATGAAAGACCTACCACATTCCAAGAATTAGGCAGAACCCTGAGCCCGCATTGATCGAAGAATTTCTCAAAATGTGATTTCAGCTGAAATCTAGCCGTTTATATGAGTGTGTCAAAAGACCAAGAAATCGTTTCATAGAGAATGCTTTTGAAGGCTCGCGTAGATTTCGCAAAAATCTCTTATTAGCGAATGTATTCGATCTTACATATAAAGACGCACTTGAATGTATTAAAGCGACTTGGTTCCGCTCGATATAAAAAGTCAATCACTACATCAGGTTTTTTAGAGAGAACAGAATTTGTAGAAAAATAAAGAAAGTGGCGGTAGTTTACCTCATTAGCAATCACATTGGAATCGTACCTGGCACTCACCACGTTTACAATTACGACACCTAAACATTTCTCTTTATTGCAGCTATATGTGCGTAGATAAATATAATTGACCGATTATGGACAAAAAGATGCTCTTCTATGTGCACAAGATACTGGTTCAACCTCGCCGCAGGCCTCTAATTCTCAAAGGGTCAGGTAAGTTGTTTTATACACGTTTGGAAGGCTTCATACGATTCCACAAAGGCTGTGATAAAGATAATGAAACGCGTTAGGACCGCTATCTCAAAATCACAGAACAAATCTGCTCAACCAACATTCGAGGACAATGATAAAGAGGATCACGAATACTCAAACAGTAGTCGAATCTGCACGAAAATCCAAGGTCACTCGAGGATAATGGCTATGGAGAACAGTATCTAGAGTGATAACGTAATCATGTGCAAAAAAAATTCTAGAAAGACATAAGGCACCTATATTACCAATAAGTTTATAAATAGATTGGATCAACATTTGGTTTCATATGGCAACGAATCACCGTCATCCTGAGTGCTATCAAACACTTCTGATTACGTCTTCAGAAAGCCGTAGCACGGCAATATTGAGAATCTAGGGAAATAAAATGATGACTGACAAGTGGAAGAATTCAGATGAAATCCAGTCTAGGGTCTACTGTTACGCTCATGATTGCCCAAGTGTTAAGTATTACGCAAAAATAGAGAGAAAGACGAATTAAGAAACCGCTAAATTTTGTGCTTGAGTGTAAAAATCAGTTGGAATAGGGGAAAACCTCACAAGCAGTTTACTGGCATGCCATATAAAATACCTGTTTTTAGTTTTTCAATTAAGACTACCTCGTTCACTGATCAGTTTTGAGAGCACCCACACTGGTTCTTCTGTAAAGAAAATGTCGGTGGGACACAGGGACTTGGCATCTGGATCTGTAGTGCAGATATCAAGATGCACTACTTCGTACTGAATGCCTGCAAAGAGTCCGTAAACTATTTACATTATTTTATGACTGCAGCCTTAGAATACCACTTTCCGCCGCGCATTTCATGTAATTCAAGCCGTCATCGATTATCACCCGGTGTCGATAGTCTTCATCCAAAGCATACCATTTCTTGGCGATTCGTAGCATCGCCGGATCCAGCTCAACAGTAGTTATATCCATCTTAAAGTAAAAGGTTTCGAAGATTTGTTAACTGAACAACATTCAACAAGCATGCTCACGTTAGGAAAATTATAATGGAGGTACGAGTTGATGTATCCGGCACCAAGACCAAGACTGAGCACTTTAGCATCAGCATCCCGTCTGATTTCTACTGCACCAGAGGCGAACATTTCCTCTAAAAATGTATGCCAGTACGTAGTAGTAAGTCTAAGGAATATTTCCACTCCCTCCACACTTTTCGATGGCTTGCCACCTCTCACTAATCAGCAGGTGTTTCTGACTGTCCAGATGTTATGTACAAAGAGTACTCACCGAACAGTAGGGTTTTGCGAAGTTGAGGAATTAAAAATCTGCTTTTGAAACAGAATTGAGAGTAATCAAATGCTGCGACAAATTATGGTTTTCTTATGATTTTCACTTTGCCAGAGAGTGAGAAAATAAACATCCTAGTAATGAGTGATGATCTTCGTATCGTTTGAGCGGACGGACTTTATTTGAGAGCGGCGACGCGTGACGGTTATAAATAGAGGGAAAACTAGTACCAAATCAAGTAATACGATGATTTTCTTCCACACCGTCCTTCTTTAAATTTGATGCGTGGATCCCACTACTTCTTTCATTCGATTTGCTTCCTCTAGTCCATTATGCACGAATAGCAACTATTACCAGAATAGTTTCTATTTCTTTCTATATATATTTGTATCTTTCTACTACTGTATGTTTCAGTATTAAGGATCACATCCACTGTTTCTCAAGCTGCCTAGCAAATGTCGTAGTACGTAAATATTTCGATCCCAACCTTAGCAACTTCGATCGCTGTAAACAGTCTTGTTCGTCGGCTTTTAGATCCGTACCGTATTGATCTCGTGCGTCACCAATCATCACCGTCACTATGTCACGCTTTCCATCAGCCCAGTGTGTCCTTATCATCCTGATCCTCATCCTCATGTCAATGTTCATTGTTTATCAATTGGTCGGCGGCTGTCATCAAATGCGTTCTGTCTGAAACGCCATCGGTGGCATGTACCATTCCTCCCACATGGCACGTCACACGTACAAGGCCGCTAACCGGCCAACTTATGCTGTGTATTTGTTAAGCCGCTATAGGCTTACCATTTCTCAATCGTTATATTTTTGGCCTACAATCTCTTCAGCAATGGTGGCACCCATCGATGCTCAAACTTCACGTTGCAGACATATCGTTATCCAAGAGCAGCCGCTTGACCGTGTTCCGCAGATGTCTCATCTCGCTCGTAGTCACTTCCACCATCGATGCTTAGGTAACTTGCTATCCTTATCGAGTAATGTGCAAGTGCACCCAACCGCTCTACATACGATCTCTAGTTTAACTTAATGTAGGGCTCATCTGCATCTCACTCTTCTGTTGTTCTAGTCCTCGGCATCTGAGCCACTGTACGCGCCAGTGCGGGCGCCATCGTTCGTATTCCCTTACTTATCATTGTTATCAGGTTGCTGTTATCATAGTACTAATGTTGTAATAGTATTATTTGCAATACTTCGTAAGCCTTCGTAAGCCTCACTTTAGTAGAGGTACAGCACTTCATTGCCTTGAACTTGCCTTATTTGTGTGCCAATAGTTTCCTACGATATTAGCGTTGTATTGATGTTGCATTTACGTATATAAACGGTTTAATTACCCAAGTCTGAGGTGTTGCTTTGTGACAGCTACGAAAAGTCCCGCGTGGCATTTATCTCACGAAGTTGAGCATTCTGTTAAAAGCTAGTGATTATTCGGTGCTGAGAACTCACTCGATGGCCTATTTTCGACTAGCAACTGCAGTAATAAATATCTTCAAACTTTTTGGCTGCGGCTCAGCTGCTACATTAGGATAGTGGTGCCTTTCATAAATGTCACTGGATGCTGGTCGAACCGGGACTCCGCGTAGAGTCCTAGGATCGCTGAGCTAGAACGTTCACGCTTGGATTGCAGAGGGTCAAGTGTTTGCAGACAAGCCTGGTATCAACTTCATGACCCCGGAAAGAGGGAATGCTTGATGAGTTCAGAGCAGAGTCAAACCAGTACCATGGTCGTGTTAAACGCTATCACTACCAATGAGCTAAGCGTTAATTGTCAGATAACTGGTGATAGCAAGTTTGATACAGACGATACAGAAGAAGATCATAGTGGTGTTTCGCTGTTGACTACAGACAGCTTACAATTTACTACACAGATCTCATAACCAGAGTTTTCACCTAAAGTGCAATTCCAACCGATGCAGAACGTATTATAAACTTCACGAAAAATTTTTCTTGCCTTTTAAAAGGCGCTTTAATAGTGGAGAGTTAAAGCAGTCCTAAGTAAACTTTTTTATCTTGATCACATTACTTATCAAAAAAAAGTTAGATGGAACTAGTTGTCGTTACCGAGGTGGTGTGAAAGAGGATGTTGAGTAATCGCCGTTGATTAGTTTTTTGTGGAAGCACTATGCATTGCACTTTATTTGTAGCATTGTAGAGATGATTAAATGCATATTTGGCTACCACGGTGTTATAAGAATAAGGAGGGCTACTGATGCAGCAACCTAGTACTCATATCCTCTCAAACAAGTGTGACTTGCCAAGGGCCGAGGATGGAGGACATGGTACAACCTGAGCATAGAATCAAACCCATTGACTGTGAATAGTATAATAAAGAATTTACTCTCACTGGATTCTACACGCCTTAATATGGCGATATAGATAAAAAGAAAGGAGAAAAGGCCGGAAAGAGATGGTGGCAGCGAAATTATAATCCGTAAGGTTTAAGCATCATTGTGACTTAGGAACGTTTCGCGTTTGAGGCGCATAATGTCTACTGCAAGGCAAATGAACGCTATCTTCATCTATATTCACTTGAATCGTTGATCAAAAAAATTGCTGAAGTATCCAACCTATAATAAATTTAGGTTGGGATTGCGTTAACACATTAACACCACGGGGTATCAAGAAACAGTTCTGCCTTTCAGTGGACGAGTTTCTTCGTCACAAGAGAGGCTGTCAAAGAAATTTTCCATACAAGACCTTTACATCTAAATGCGAATCCCAGCGAAAAAAGTGGCTCTGAAGAAGGCGATACTGCCGAAACGTCAGCTAGCGTTGTATTGTATTGTGTTTTTATGGAAGTAAATGTATGCTGTTTAAAAACCTTGCGATTGCTAAACAAGAAAACGACACATTCATATTCTAATGCCGAGGTTAAGAGAAAGTCGATCCTGGGAACGATTCCATCTTCCTTATGAATGTCGTAAATGCTGGTCCAGTCAATTCTCCTTACGATCTTGGATATAGTCTGGCTAAGGCGTTCCCACGTGGAGTGGAGGAGAGCTTTAGAACGTCATTCGAACTAACTCATTTGCTTCCTAATCGACGACATCACTAACCACTGTGTTATCCCGTTCCAACGACTTTTTAAGATTCTAAATACATGTTTCATTCATTCATTCATTATATATTGTTTATTTATATTTATTAACTTTAGCAGATATTTCTGCTGCTATTGTCAGCATGCTCCAGTTTTAGAGTTAAAAGCTCGGAGAAATTTAACACAAAGCTATAATTTTGGAATAATTGCACAAGTTATTGTCACTAAACCCACCAATCATGATAATCATGTCCGAATCGGAATCGGCCGCACTTTTATCCAACATCCATCGCCTTGAATCCAGGTTATTATCGTTGAGATCTTAACGTTACAAAATACACGATATATGTTAAAGTCAATCAATATTTGTGAGTGTGAATGAAGCTTACCGTTTGGAAATGTCAAACGCATTCGAGAAATACGGAAATTTTCAAGAACCATTTCGCGAAATATTGACTTCCTTAAAAAAATCTCGTCTATTATTCTTAACCCTTTTATTTACTGCCTTTTTTTTTTAATGGCAGGGTATGTTGTGGAATATAACTCGTCTAATCTCGTCTATTATTACCAGTACTCTTGATTGTTTGCTCAATGAACGTCACTTAAGTCGAGTATTATCTAAAAGTACGTCAAGCATTCGTCGCCTTTCATTGTGCTCGTGAAGGATACGAGAAACTACTTCACAGTGATCGTATGCCGATTTGCAAGAAAAACCTCAGCCTATGAATCGCTTCCGCAATTCAAAGTGCGTTTTTTTCATTTGAACCCTGTTTTCCATCCTATATCAAACATTCAAATGGTACACGAATGCATCCCAATACCGTCACTTACATCCAGATATGAAGGGTAAGGAAGGTAAAGCTCTCGGCGTTGATCAATCTCTGAGGGATACGCCATGCATTCGACTTCATTAAGTATTACTGGAGGGGTGACTGAATGCATATCTGGGCCTACAATCATTCGAGATGGCACTCCGACGTATCGAATCAGTCCTGCTATCCTCCCTGACAAATCTGATACCAATTTGCCGACCCGGGAGGAATGGAAGGTTTGATGAGTCATGGGCGCGGGAATTGATTCCACGTGTGTGTCGCAGTGGCGCCTCCAACCACTGCGCCATCCAGATATATGATGGGAAAAGTAAAGTTTCAAGTTTCAAATGTCTAACTGTTATCTTTCCCCAAGATAAACGCCCACTTCTCACTGCCATTCTCCACTCTGTCCACAATATCGACGCATGAACCATCCATAAGGCACATTGACTCCTCTCTGAAATATCCACTGCTTAAGAATTATTTTACATTCAAATTCCTTCGCTTTTTAGACGATGGTTAGAGAAAACTACAAGGAAGAGTGCAAAAAATTTTTTGCCAGAACAAAGAAAAGCAGGCTGCAATCTAACTACTAAGAGCACAGCATATTACTAGGTGCTCGAGTAAGAGCGAACAAGATAAGCGTGGAATAGAAAAGATGACACTATATGTTCTCGGACACTATACTCAATTTCATGTCTTCAGATGCCGGAATCGGTGGTAAATGCCAAACTCAGAATTATTTAGCCGATTCATACAAGCTGACGCCGATCATTCCACTGTTGGGCACTACTTACACGTTTCAGATGTCTTAAATGGTGGAACATGTAAACCTAAGCAATCTAACCAAAGAACAAATTTAAGCCGCCTTACCTACGAGCTTGCATCTTCACTGCAAATAGGATCTCGTGCTGGTGCTTCACTAGCATCATGATTAAGGACTTCATCGAGTCGCTCTCACTCTGTTAGAAACTACACAGTAAAGGATTTGAGTAGAATCGTCCTCCTTGTAACGAGATAAAGAGATTCTGGATCTTACAAGAATAAATAACGTAAAATTGACTACTGGCTGGCGTTTCATGGAAGGAACAATTCAGCTGTTTTGTCCGATGTTGGAAGCAGAAACGAAATATCGGTGAAACTAATGCTGCTTGCATGAATGAAACAACATAGAGCCATGTTAATTGAAAAAGGAACCACTAAAAAAGGCCTACGTTAAAGCACCTAAGTGTTGGAAAAAGGTTTTGCTTTCACTCTTAAGTATATAACTACTTACAATATCCTGTAACTCCCATACTTCTTCACGTAAATATCGAGAAAGCTTTGTTCCTCCATATTTCGTGTTCTTTCTTGGACGCACACGAATGAAACGATCACCACTGGCTATAGAGATTATCTTTGAGTTCAACTCAGACAAGCAATCGCTGCAGTGAAGAGACTAAAGAGGAATTCTCTCTTACCAATAACATGCACGCAGCCGCACAATACCATCGCTTTGGTAGTCGCCACATCGAAAATAGGAAAATCATACACGCACTGGAAGAAGAGGTGGAAAAAAGTGATGACGTTAGCGATTTTGCTTCGATGTGTTGGAGAGTTATCATTCAACAGATCTCAACAAGATGAGTCCTGTTAAGTTCATGCGGTCAGATTTCACTTCTTATCACATGTCACCCGGATATTTCTCTAAAATATCGTTGCTTACCTGGACATCTAAGTAGCACACTTATTTAACTTTTTTCTTATAATATCATGCTGTACTTCTATTGAGTAATTTTATTTTGTTAAACTTGGCTTTTTAGTTGTATTTAGCACTATGTCTTGGTCCTGTTGGCACATGGTGTTTGTTCTGCGGCTGAAGCGCTTCTTTACAATCACGACGTCGTCAGCTCGCACAGCTTTTTGATTTTACCAACATCTAATCCCACACTCAATTCTTCTGAATTTTTGCTCTTCCTGATTCTCTACATTATCTGTTTGAAATGCTTAATCCTGGGCCTTAAGTTAAACTCAGGCTCTTGGTTATCTCAAGTCTCTACCAACAAAAAACTCACCACTTTCTTGATGTGCGAGCACGTAGTTGATACTTTACGTTTTATTCACGAAAAATCTGTTTCGGTTGATTTCGCCTACTTCAGAGATTGGAAAGGTTAAATTGATTGCAACTTAACCGGTCCAATACCTCCGTAGGTCCATAACCAGGAGAGAAAATTCACAAAACTAGTATTTAAATGGAATTAAAAGCAAAATATGTGGATGGGTAGTGTGCCTCTCTCACACTGAAATATTAGTCTTAAATATATGTGACTTCACGTATAATAACGAGCCATTCCTCTCTGCTGTTCATTTTTGGATTCTTAGGAGTTCTACAGAATACTTCGCGGGTATTTCATGCTAAAGCTTTAGATTGCTGACCAAGCACCGTGACTTCTGCTTCAACATCCTCTCGGTTGTATCCTTGCGCACTGCCGAGCAAGGATAGCTCACTCGATCGGTACTTACGAAGACACACTACGCGGCGGTGAATCACTGTGGACCATCGAAACGGATCGTCCGCTCTAAAGAAGAGAAGACGTTGAAGCGTTAGCCCATGTTTGCTTATCAATGAAAGAAATGAAAGAATACAAGTTGATCAGTCATACCGACGCTAAAGCGTTTTTTTGCGTATTGATGAGTGATTTAGAGGTTAATAGAATCAGTCCCAGATCTCGTATTTCGTAATCGTCTCAGCCGATTACGCGCAGTTTATCGTCGGCTGCATAAACGGGAAAACTCGTCCGCGTGTCAATCAATGCATGCCCCTACACTGATTTTTCGGTGGTACGCCATACTTTCAAATAAAGAGTCTTCGGGATTGTGACCATAACATTATTTTAATGTGAGTTTACCCACGTTCCGTGGAGCTGTATGTTACATACTCTGCGCCACGCTATGTTTCATTGTCAATCCTGCAACCGCATTGTTGTCAACATTTGGCCTCCTTCCTGTTAGTTGAGAGGTGTTTCTCTCGGAATTTCTTTATTGCTCCGATATCTATACACTCCGTATGCCATCAACAACTCATCGCCTGGTACCAAATAAAATAACAGTGGGTTAAGGATTGAAAATTGAACTCTACATTCCTCACAAAACGGACTATGCCGTTTTTTTGTCCCTCACATAATGTACGACGTTGTTCTGCAGTTCTCAATACTTTCACCGCTGAGCAAAAAATTGAAGGATTGAGAGCTGAACACACTTGTAGAAATTAGTAGCTTTGTTCTGACACTTACTATTAATTTTATTGTTCTGATTTCTAATTGCTATTTGCTTACTCCTCCCAACGGTTTACCGCCTCATCGTGGCTGAGAGGTGTTTCTGGGTGTCGGGCTGCAATGTACAGTGGGGAGATTCATCTCCCCAGCAGGTTTTCCCAAGCTGAGAAAGAGTCTGGCGTTTTTACCAGGAAGCCTATGTAAGAGTAAACCAATACCGGAATCCACCACCGTCGTATGAAACTAGTCGCATGGGGGCCATTCTACCTCTGATCAACAAGGGCGGCGAATGCCTGTGGTGGTGACGACCTGTAGCAGACTTTGGCCAAGCTAACCTCGGTACTGCAAGAAAACACAATAGCTAAATCAGCAAAACGCTGAAAAATGGAGATTATGCGAGGACTATCACAAAGAGTGAGGAACGGCCTTCCACGCATCCAAGCATTTGTTTATTATGCATTGTACATCGTACATTCGTTGTTCTTTGTTGTTGTTGTTGTTGTTTGTTTTTGTTGTTTGTTATTGTTGTTTGTTGTTGTTGTCTGTTGTTGTTCGTTTGTTGTTGTTGCTGTTTGTTGTTGTTGTCTGTTGTTGTTTGTTGTTGTTTATTGTTGTTTATTGTTGTTGTTTATTGTTGTTGTTTGTTGTTACTTTTGTTGTTGTTATTATTACTGTTGGTGCTGTAATTTGAAGGCTGACGTTTAGGCGATTTCGCCTTTCTGGGAGCATAGACGTAATTTGTGTAGCAATAGCCCTATAACTCGGGGACAAATCTGTAGTGCTAATGAAGATCGAGTTCGAGTGATGAATGGTTCGAGTCATGGAGTCATTCCACGCTACTTCACTTTATACCAGTCTGTCGGATGACTGGCAATTTCTCGGGTTGCTCATTAAGTAAGAAAAGAAAAGAAACATGTAAGGATTATCGATTTAACAACTAATAATTCTCTTAAAACCGTGTCTTAGTTGTTTCATCTTTAGCTTATCGGGGATATACTTTGCACAAATTGAAGGGGTAGCCCATGGGACACCGATTTGCACCGTCTTGCCATTGCCTTGATGTCTAAGTAGAAGCTCTAGTTTACGATCACCGACCCATACTCTATTGCCGATACATAGGCGACTGCTTCATCGTCTGTTCCACACAAGAACAGATGGATGAGTGCTTTGAATTGTTAAATAGACAGCATATAAAATGCGCAAGAAAAACCATCCCAGAACTCGCTTCCGTTCTTAAACATCCAAGTAAAGCCATCAGAAAGTGACTAGTATCGAAAACCAAGTAGCAAAAACATAACAGTGCACTATCTCTCCTCTCCGCGGATCTCCCTCATATGAGGGATCTCGAGCCCGTTAGTCGCGAGGCTACGTCGCGCGTCCACAGGTGGCGAATAGGGCTTCAATCGCGGACCAAAATCGACTATTGCTTCTCTAAGAAGCAGGTGGATCCAGGAGATGGACTCCCTGTTTCTGCTGCGCTGATTTAGCACATACTTTCTGTATTTGCTAGGCGTATTCATGCATGCGTGTTTGGGTGCGTACTTGCTTATGCGGATTGTATTCTACGAGACAATTCTGCCAAAAGCCTGCAACCAAGTGACTAGGAATTATATAGGAGGCGGCTAGGAGCTGCCTCCAACAAATAAGCTCCATCTCCACTCTGAGAGAGCTTGGCAAGCTACCCGTGAGTATACTCAGCCCCACGTTCAGAGCCCAGCAAGACATGTGTGGGTATCAAAGATGCCAAACACAGTAAAAAAAAAACGGGCTTTATTCCCCTGACCCGAAAGAGCCCCCAATTTCGCAGTGTTGGGTTGGACAAGTATAGAGAGGCTGCTAAAATTACAGGGCCAATGGAAGCTGCTTGGATTTCAAAGAACTATGGTGGCGATCTGTACCTACAATGCACATACACTTGCATCCGAATCCTCGATAGAAGACTTGATCTTGCAAGCAGGAAGGATAAAGTACGACGTCATCAGCCTGGCAGAGACGAGAAGACGCCAGCCTTTCAACGTCGTCTTTGACACCGGAGAAGAGCTGTTCCCCGGAACATGCAACAGTAAAGGAGTCGGAGACGTAGGCATTCTCGTCAATACGAGTTTGTCCATGAACATCGATTCATTCGAACAACCTACAACCCGAATCATACGTTTACGATTAAAAATACGTGGATCAATTTCGGCCTTGACAATCTTCGTCGTTTACGAGCCGACATCAAACTATGACGAAGAAGAAGTCGAAGCGTTCTATATGGAGTTGGAGAAGTTCTACGGAGAAGATCACACATTATTCAAGGTCATCATTGGAGATTTCAACGCCAAGATTAGACCAAGAAGAGCGTCTGAAAAACGTCACAATGAAACCCACAGATTAGAATAGAACGAACAGGGTGAGCGGCTATCTGAGTTTATCATGGGGACCAAGACCATTCATGGTAGCTCGCAATTCCAGAAGCCCCACCCTCAATGCTAGACGTAAGAGTCTCCCAATGGAGAGTACCATAACGAAATAGACTACATCATAGCAAATAGAAGGCTTTGCCTAACCGATGTCGCTGTGGTCCCAAAATTCTACACGGGATCGCCTCCTTAGTGCAAGATTCTATTTCTCGCGTAAAGAAGAAAAAGCTG